AAACCTATTAGAAAAATGGGAACAATAGCAGGTGATAAGAGCTGCTGATGAATCCTAACACTCTGGGTGGGGATAAGGGGAGGGGGCGCCAGGGCTCTGTCTTTGGAGAAAGGAGTGTCAGTGTGGAGAGATAAGAAAGCCCTGGGTTGCTAATTAATAACCCAGCATTTTCCAGGGAGAGAGGGAGGCCAGGAGCCATTACCCCTGCCAGACAGTTTCACTGAAGGTGATGAGCTGTTCCTGCCCTTGTGGGCCTGAGGTCTCTTGGCTGCCTTGCCCCATGGTCTGGTGTCCCCCTTCCCTGTCTCAGAGGGCCCAGTTTTGGGTCCATTCTGTATTATTTGCCATCAAAAAAAGCAACACATGAAGAAAAATAGCTTACATTTGGGGAGCACTTACCACGTACCAGGAACTATGCCCAAAGTCTTAGTTCATTTAATATTCATAATGACTCCATAAAGTAGGAATCCTTAGAATCCCCAACAAATCAAAGAGGAAACCCCAAAGTCTGGAGAATGTTAAGTAACTTGCTCAAGGTCACACAATTAGAAATGTGGATGGATGCGCTCTGTGGTCATTCTGGTGCTGGTGCTCACCGGAGCTACCCGCCCAGGATCTGAACACGAAGTGAAGTCTACGTCCCCCGCCAGGGGTAGAAGCCACATGCCCCTGCGCAATGCCAGGTCACTGGGTGTGTATCCAAAGCATGGCTGCACAGCTCTTTGCTCTCCCAGAGGCTGCTGGGTAATTGACCAATATGATTTCCCAAACCGGGTGCCCATGGAATATTGGATTCTTCTGACACGTGAATAAAGATGTTTCACACCTAATGTTGAGTAATGGACTAGACTTCTTTCTTCCAAATTTCCAAGAGAACTTTGCAAAACCATAGCATGTTCTCTCAATTGTTGATTTTTCTTTCATGATTTTCTTTTCACTCCTTTGGAGCTCATGCCTGTTCACCAGATGGCTGGTGATGGTAACAACGAAACTGGATGAGTAGCAAGCAAATGAGTATTGACAGAAAAACTCGGAGATGAGAGATCTTTAATATAGTACATATTATGTCTTGACATGTAGCTATATATAAAATACTTACATTTTTTTCTGCTAGTAAGGTCATTCCTCATTTGTAATGACAAAGTTAAAGCTCTCTCTATTAGTGTTCGTGGCTTGCAGATGTTCTGCCAATGAAACTCTTCCAAATGAGGGGATATTCAAAACTAGACTAGGCAGAACTAAGTGATTCTAATAGAAACAGCTAATATTTATCTTATTTTTTACTACATTCCAGGCACTGTCCTGGCACTTTTGATCTCACTGAAACCTCACAATGACCCTAGAAGGTAGATACTATTATTATACCCATATCACAGATGAGGAAACTGAGGCTTGAGAGATTAAGTAGCTTGCCAAAGTCACACAGTTTAAAGTCAGTGGAGATGAACATTGAAGGAGCCCAGTCTGACCCCAGGGCACTGATTCTTTCTCTCCGGGCTGAGGAGGAAATAAAGAAGGAAGAAGAGAGGGAGGAAGAACACAAAGATTTGGGAAGGGCTTTCTCCCTTACCAGAGGGTTGCCTCTCTCTTGCCACGAAGCTAGTGCATGATAGCAGTATGAAATATGAAGAGTACTGGATCAGGACGCAAAAGGCGGCTGAGTTGCCCATCCAAATTCTATCTACCTCACAGTGTCGAGGTTCAAACAAGACGAGTGGGAAAAAGGCTTTGAGGGCGACTCATGCACCTGTGATTTAGAAAAGGGCAACGTGTCCTGGTCGGTTGGTCCCAGCAGGCCTGAGGTAGGAAGGCACACATCGTAGCTGATCTAGCAGAGCTCTGAGACCATACAGGAGCCTATCCTTCCCAGCCTCAGTGGACGTTTAACCAGGCTATGCAGGCTGGCTGCATTCAAGGCTGCATATAGTGATTTTACAGGGGCTAAATCCTGTACAGTCACCTTTGCCCTGGCCTAATTCTGCTCTTTACCAGCCTTGCTCACTGCCTTGCGTTCCCCAGTGGGGGTGAATCCACTCAGCAACAGGACCCAAATCTCTGTGTAATGCCTGTGGGAGAGATGTCCTGGAAAGGGATTCTCCAGGCAGAGGAAGGGCCACTTGGTCTTACATAACCAGTATTGAGCGCTGAGTGCTGATTCCCAATAATCCATACCTCTGCCTGCCTTAATCTCAGCTCCGAGGGAACGACAGCGGGGAGCGGTGGGGGGGCACGTGCACAAGCATTCAAAATAGCAGCCACAGCAAGGAAAACTGATTCCCTCCACCCGCCCCCTCCCCCACCTCTCTTTTCATTTATGAATTCAGTTTTTTGTCAGACTGAACATTTAAATGCACTCTATGCTCTCTGGATTCCCCCCGTTTCTCCCCCTTCCTCATTAAAATTCTAATTATTACCACAGCAAGTAAGATGTATGATCAAAGGAAAGCAAAGCCTTAGAAATACCTTTTTGTTTTAAGGTGACTCATATTGTAGAGAATGCATCCAGAACAGCTGTAACCGAGAGCAGATGTGAAGGGTCTAGAGATGGCTGGATACTTAGAATAAGGACTAGCTGTGGTAGCTTTCCTCGTGAACCCCAGGGCTATAAGGGCCTACAGAAACAGTCTCCAAACCATTTAGATAATGAACTCGTAACAGCACAAATTATTTGATTTAATGCCTCCAATATATATCTGTTCCCATGTTACATACACATGTGGGTTGTATCTCCGTTCCATGGCTTACCAGCCGTGTGACCCCGGGGAATCTCGTCCTCTGTGCCTCACCTTCATCTGCAAAATGAAAATAATAATCACACCTATCTCCCTGGAGAGTATTAAACGAGCGAATGCATAAAGAGCACTTTGTACCTTGGACCTCGTAATGTTCAAAACTTAACTAAGTCCAGAAATAAAATGCTATCATTTCTATTACTATCAACCAGTATATTGCAACTCTCATTTATTGTTTTTAAGATAATAAATAAATATGAAAGCGATCTGATATGTTTTCTCTTGTGCCCCCAGAATGCACTCATACCACACTAGAGACCTTTAGTTTAGAAGTGAACTTAGAATTGGCTTTCCAGATCCCTAGCAGTCCCTGGGTGAAGGACTAATCCCACCCATCTCCTTTGGCCGGGGAGAAGCTCCATTGTCTCTGTGCAGGAGCCTAGGAATGCTGTGGGTGGCTGTGATAGTTGATCCAAGCCAGGACCCTACATCCAGGGAGTCAGAAGGCAGTGCCAGCTCCCCAGAGAAGGTAGCTGACGTTCTCACCTCCGGAAGGTTCCTCTGGACGGGAGACAGCTTTCTCTGGTGCCTGTGTGCTATGAGAGTACTCCGGATTCCCCCCAGGAGGGACTTGGCATCTCACTACTGCAAGCCTAGCTTAGCCCCTGGTACCTGCAGGTGCTCAGTAAATGCTGGTTGAGAGATAATTATAGCTCTTTTATGTGCCATTCATTCATTCACCTCATTCACTCATTCATTCTCATGTGCCAGTTTCTGTGCTAGGCCCTGAGTCAGACAAATATAAAAACGCAGGGTTACAATAGCCATCAGTTTAATCAGGAACAAACAGGCTATAGGACAGTGGAAGGAGCCCCAGCCTGGGTGGTGGACATCTGGACCCTGGTCCGACCTGTGACCCCAGGCAAGTCCCTTCTCTGGACCACTATTCTTGTCTGCAGAAGCACAGCCTGGCCTCAGTACTTGTAGGGTCATTTCTCACCTTAAATCTGAAGATTCCTGGGACATGGGCCACGATAATCCAGAGCCTGCAAACCCACAGGCCTGCAGGGGCCATGAAGGTAATAGGGAGACTGGTGAGGACACACCCCTCCAAAGGGAGCACAGAAGTCCAGGTCCAGTTACCGAGTCATCTGGCCTCCTCCAGATTTTCCAGGAATTTGGTGTGATGATGATGATGGTGATGGAATTTCTCAACTTCTCCATTGTCACCCTAGGCATGCAAGACTCCTCTGCGGGCTTGACCTTAGTGCACACCCCACCACGTGTGCCGTTGGTTTGGAGGCTTCTGACCTCTCAGAGGGAGAAGAGGCTTTGGGTCCTAAGGGTCATTCCAAAAGGGGTTGGGGTGGGAGATCTGCTAAATCGTTTCTTCCAGAGGGAGGCATCCCCCACAGCTCTCCTGGGATCGCAGGCATCCTGCTGGGGGGCAGGGGTGGGCTGGAGACGAGGCAGTGAGCCCCTGCCTTGAGCCAACCACAACATTCAAAAATACCAGCTTTACAGAAAAGCTCTCAACTGGCCACAGGAATGGGAAAAGCCAGCTACAAGAATCACTTGTATGTAGCTTGGAAATAAATTGTGTGGGTCCAATTCCAACTTCATCCCAGTATCTACTGAGCCTACTGCGTGCAGAGTTGAGAGTCCAGAAGAAGCCTGAGACCTAACCCCTGCCTCTCATTCACTTCAAGTCATCTCGTGACCGTTGAGCTACCGCTCTGGGCTCCACGGGGGGTTGGGTCTGGGAAGAGATGGAGTTGGCCAAGCCTCTGGTCCCCAAGGCCACACAGCCTGTTGAGGAAGAGAGCTGTATACAAAAAAATGACTCTGCTCTAAGTCTGGCCATAGTAACAGCTCTAATAGAAATTCAAACAGCATCCAAATGTGAATGCTTCACGAATTTGCACATTTGCTTAGGCTGCTATTTAAATTACTTTCCCTTCCCGGTGCACTTGCCGACAGGCAGTCAGAGAGGCAGCCCAGGTGCTCCCCAGGCTGGCAGTGGGGGAGCGGGGTGCGAGTGGGGGGACCGGCAGAGGCTAGCGCCCGGCTGCAGACATTTCACAAAGTGGACTGTGGAGCACCACCCCCAAAACCACCTCTCCTCTGGCGGGTAGCTTTCTCATGAGCGTTCTTTTCTCCTCTCCCGTCTTTGTCCATTCTGTGTGCCCCCTCTGCTGACACCCTCTCCTGCTTCTGCCCACCTCTGTCTGTCTCTGTCCCTCGCTGCCTGGCTCACGCCGAGGGCAGGCACCTCTGTCAGCCTCCTCGCAGCCGTAGTGATTGTGTGTGGCGTGGCCCTGGTGGCAGTTTTTCTCTTTCTCTTTTGGAAGCTGTGCTGGATGCCCTGGAGGAGCAAGGAGGCCTCCAGTCCCGCTTCTGCTAACCCTCCCCCGGACGCCCTCCAGAGCCCAGGCTCCAGAGGCAACATGGCAGACAAGCTGAAGGACACCAACACGCTGGGCTTCCTAGAGGCGGCTGTGAAGATCAGCCACACGTCCCCAGATATCCCAGCCGAGGTGCAGATGTCAGTCAAGGAGCATATCATGCGTCACACGCGGCTGCAGCGACAGACCACAGAGCCAGCATCATCTACCAGGTGAGGGTGGACCTCTTCCTTCCCTCCCCGCCACGCCTCCACATTCTCTTACTCAAGACATTAAGAGATTCCAGCCCGTGAGGAGCAGAGGACAGAAATAATAACTCATGTCTTCTGATTGGAGAATATAACAGATGATGTGCTCCGTGGTGGGGTAACCAACCAAGAGGTGGGCACCAGGAAAGGCCTCAGGAGAGGGGAACCTTGGAGGTGGGGCGCTGTGCTCCATGGTGTGCACTGGGATGCGCATGGGTGGGAGGTGTTGGGTGTTTGGAGAGAAGGAGAGATTGCAGGCAGAGGGCTGAGAATATGCAAAGGCCCAGAGGCATACAAGTTCATGGTGTGTCTAGGGGTCTGCCAGTAAAGCCTTGTCAATAGCGTCGGTTCCTAGACAAGAGGTTCCTAACATTTTGAGGAATGAGGATTCCTTTATAACCTTTGACAGAGTCCCCTGAAGGACAGCAGTTGTATACATGGCATTCTTTAACGGAGAAAACCAAAAACAACCCCCATCGCATAATAACAAACAACCTACTCTAAATTCAGACACAGAAGTGGTGCATTCACTTTTCTTTTTATTCAAACCTAGGGCTCTTGTGGGCTCCTGGGTCCCTGCAATGTCTCCCCAGGCTCCCGGGGAACCAGCCGAAGGGAAGGAGACCAGGTCTTCAGCTGGGAGTCCAGGAAGGAACGTGCTGGAGGTCACATTTTCAGAGTTTATCATATGACCTCGGGCAAGTTGCTCACCTTTCCTAGGACTCGCTTTTCCCCGACTGTAAAATAGGGCTGGTGACTCATCAGGTAGCTGTGAGGAGCCAAGGAAGGAATCCATCAGAGCTGGATTCTTTGATAATCCAGAGTTGACGATATATCGCTTACTATACACCTGGCCCTGTTCTAAGTGCTTTTTATGTGTATGAATCCGGTTCCTCCTCACAGCAATCCTATGCAATTGCTACTTTTATTATCCTCATTTTGTAATGCAGAGAAGTTAAATAACTTGACCAAGGTCACATAGCCAGACAGTGGCAGAGCCAACATTAACCTCCTCAGTCTGGCTCCCAAGCCCAGTAAATGTTTAACTACAGTGTCAGTGGTAGAGCTGGTGATGATGATGAAGGGATAGCCACAGCCAGGGGGAGAAAGGATGGTCCTTCTCCTAAGGGATCTCATGGTTTCATGGGGGAACTAGAGTCACGTCTACAAGGAAAGAAACCCAGAAAGCAGGGGGAAAAATGGCAGCAAAGGCTACCATGAATTGACCTTAGTATATACCGGGCCCCATTCCAACTCCTTTCCGTAAACTTGTAATGCTCACAATCACCTGTGCACCAAGTATGTGCAGAGGGAGAGAGGGTCGGCGAGCAGGAGGAAAAGGGCCCTGCAAAGTGTAGGATAAGCCAGGGCAGCAGGGAGGTGTTGGCCTGCACACCCGCGCCCCCCCCCCCCCCGGGGCCCTGACCACACTGTCCCCGACCCCCGCCAGGCACACGTCCTTCAAGCGCCACCTGCCACGGCAGATGCACGTCTCCAGTGTGGACTACGGCAACGAGCTGCCGCCGGCGGCAGAACAGCCCACCAGCATTGGCCGAATCAAGCCTGAACTCTACAAGCAGAAGTCGGTGGATGGGGACGATGCCAAGTCGGAGGCTGCCAAAAGCTGCGGGAAAATCAACTTCAGCCTGCGCTACGACTACGAGAGCGAGACCTTGATCGTGCGCATCCTGAAGGCCTTCGACCTCCCTGCCAAGGACTTCTGTGGCAGCTCTGACCCCTACGTCAAGATCTACCTCCTGCCTGATCGCAAGTGCAAGCTGCAGACCCGGGTGCACCGCAAGACGCTGAACCCCACCTTCGATGAGAATTTCCACTTCCCAGTGCCCTACGAGGAGCTGGCCGAGCGCAAGCTACATCTCAGTGTCTTCGACTTCGACCGCTTCTCCCGCCATGACATGATCGGAGAGGTCATCCTGGACAACCTCTTCGAGGCCTCCGACCTGTCCCGGGAAACCTCCATCTGGAAGGACATCCAGTATGCCACCACTGTGAGTATGGCCTTGCCTCCTGGGCTTCTTGAGGATTCCTAGGGCCGGGTTGAGTGGGGTGTGGCCCTATCCTCCTCCGCCCTAGAGACAAGTGGGCCTTTGCCCTTCAGGATGTGAAGGGGGACTCTGGGAACTGAGCAGTGGCTCAGCCCACCCTGGGGAAGTCCTTGCACGCTGCCCCAGGTTGGGGTGTGGGTTGGCATGGAAGAGAATTTTTGCCCATTGCTTCTGATTACATGTTCTGGGGCGGTTCCCTCCACCTGCTAGGCCTTAGGTCTACCACCTATAAAGTAATGTTATCTATCTCTTTGATCACGGGTGAGGATTGGGCCAGGTCTCTAGACTGAATCAGACAGCAGCATCTGCCAAGTGCACTGATGTGTGCTAGAAGCCTGGAAAGAGCAATCAAGAACAGGGCATGTTAATCAGGACGAATGAGGTTAAGTTGCAGCAACAAATAGTCCTAGGATTTGGTAGCTTAGAGCAACCAAGATCTAGTTCTTGTTCATGCTATCCATACTTTGCAGCTTGGCTGGGGTTCTACCTTACCTTGTGACCCAGGGGTCTGAGCCGACAGAGGCTTCGTTTGGACATGTGCTCCCATAGTTACCACATCAGGAGAAAGAGGATGTGGCAAGTCATGCACTATTTCTTAAAGCTTCCACAGTGAAGGGATATTTGTTACTTCTTCTTGTGTTTCGTTAGCCAAAGCAAGACACATGGCAACTTAGGAGGGCAGGGCAAAGAAATCCTACCGTATGCCCAGAAGGAGAACTGGAAACACTTAATGACCAACACGAGTGACTACCACACAGCCCCTTCTCTGAGGCACTGCCTGCCCAGGGCAGCCTGGAAGGATACCTGACTAATCCACATATGGGACAGGAGGTGCTTGGCTGTTCACGATCAACTGCAATTAACCAGGGAAGGTTTTAAGGAGCTGAAGCTCGAGCTGGCTTTTCAGGAGGAAGACAGGTTTGGCACAGAGAATTAAGAGGGCATTTCCAGAGCCCTTTGGTCCAGTGTAGATCCCACAGGTGTGGGTGTATACCTCTCTCTAAGCCCATCCAGGCAGCTGAGAGCCCAGCATGGGTGTTCCCATCAGACACCAACGGCCTTGTGTCTGGGGTCTTGAGTGCTAACTGGTTGAGTCTCCCCGGATATTTCTTGCACTGTTTCTCTGGGGTGGGGATGACCCCACTCAGTCTGCAGGCCCTCCCTTTCAATAATTCTCAATATCTCTATGTTGAATTTGTGAGGAGAGAGGCCAGGAAAATCATCCCCCCTGCTCTGATGGGAAAAGCGTAAGAAACTTGATTTGTTCAAAGCTTGGTGGGCTCCGTTTCAGCCCCAGGGTGGGTCTCGGGGACACCCCATTCTCCAAGCTGGTCCTGACTTTGACCAGTTCAGTCTGATGTCCCAGTGCCTCTCTGACCTTTGCTTCCACGAAATCCCCAAGAATAGGACCAGCAGCAAGACCAGGCAGATGGGGCGGATGGCGCAGCAGCTGAGCGCCAGCCCAGGCCCAAGAGCTCTGCTCTATAAATCACTGTGAAGTTTACATCTGCTGCAGCTCTTCCCTGGTGCTCTCCTCAGGCAGCAGCTTCATTATGGTGACTGCACAGGAAGAGAAGAGCAGCTCGGTCCTCCCCACGTGGAGGTCAAGGCCCAGGGGCTCCGAGAGCGGAAGGGGTGAGGCCAGGGGCTGGGGAAACAGAGCTTGACTCAGACTCTGAGGACTCCCCTCCCTCTCCTGCGACCTTAGCTGCGGGCACGATGGAAGACCCAAGCCTGGACTGGACAGTCCGTGCCTAAGTGCGCTCCTCACAGGGAGGCGAGCTTCCTATGTGCTAGAACGCTGTGGCTGTCCCTGTCCTCGTCCCATCCCCCTTCCTCAGCCCAGCTTCTAGACTGAATCAGACAGCTGCGATAAAAGACAGCTTCCTTGATCCACAGAAAATTAGAATCTAATTCCAGAGACAAGAGAAGTCCATGCAGGTGCTAGTAATGCTAAGTAGTGAATAGTGTGCACTGTGAGAGGTTGCTATTGAGAGTTAGGGCAGCCCTGGAATTTTCCCCGGGTGGGGAAGATAAGTGGGGAGGGGTATATATAGCGTGACAGAAGAAGGGCTAGCATCCTAACTGGGAGCACAGGGAGGCCAGGCCCAGGAGTTTCTGAAGCCGAAGAGCAGGTGACTGTGCTCACACACCCCATCTTGCTTGCAGTCTGTCTGAGCTGATGTTCTGCCAACGGGAGGCCCCTGGGGCCCTCCAGTCCGCAGCTCTGCTGGTGGGTTGGCTCTCAGGAGTAAGCTCATCGTCCTGGTGGGCGAGGAATCAGGCAAAGGAGGGGAAAGGGAAATAAGGTGGGTGCTTTTACCTGTTTTTTTGGCACTGACTCTGAAATTATACTTATTTGGGGGCCAGAGAGGCCCAAGTCATAGTCCCTGGGAATGACAAGCAGTGAGTGCATGTGAAATCCTGTGGCCAGCGTGGTGGGGGTGGTAGGGATGAGCACAGGGGCTCCCATCTGTCCTCGTGCTGGATTCCATTCCTAGAGCTGCATTTGGGCCCCACTCCGCTTGGAACTCTGGCAGCTCTGCTGTCCTGCAGGCTGGTCCCCCAAGCTGCCCGACATTCTTGCCTCCTGCCTTTGCTCACAGGGCTCCCCCTGTCACGCAAGCCTTTCTGCACTGCTCTGCCTGGCCCAAACCAATCCCCCTTTCAAAGTTCCCTAAGCCTTTCTGCTCTTACAGAAATCGCTCCTCTGGATTTATTCCTGTGTCTCAATTATACCCCGAATCATCTTTAGTCTTGCAAAGTCCTCCCAATGGCTCAGGAATGCCTTTTGTCCCACATTTGACTTTCTCTTGTCTTTTTCCTCCATGCTGAGTGTGTCATCATAAACAAACATAAGAACTCAGCACATTTTTGTAGAACAACCAACGGCTTAGTTAATTCAATTAAAACTATATATGGATACACAAAGAAAGAATTATTAAAGAAGCAGTGGGAATCGGGTGTGGTTATAACCTGGGAAGGCTTCCTGGAGGAGGAGGTCAAATAGTATTCTGAAAACTGGTAGAGTCAGGCTTGGTGGGGAGAGATGCAGCCTGTGCATTCCTTCAGAGATATGGTAGCAAATTGATTAACCAGTTGGGTCGGAGAGTCCGGATTGAACTGGAGGGTCAGTGACCCACAGGCTAAGTAGAAGGAGAGGCGGGCGCTGTGAGAATCAGGGGCTTAGCAGGCGGCTTTGGGGTCGCATGAGTCCATGAATGCGGTCCCCTTGTTGGTCCTTGTGCTTGTATTAGAGCATCACATTCAGCCCTGGCAGGTGGAACCGGGTATGTCCCTTGCTTTAGCTCCAGCCACACGGCTCAAGTTGGTTTGAAGTAGCAAAGCCTGGAGCATCCCTGCTGTTTTCTCACAACCCCTGAATTAGGAGCCTCAAGGCTAGTGAAGGAGAGGTGTACATCCGGGGAATCTAGCTCTTGGTTAATTGCGAATCCTAAGCCACATGGGACATTGGCCTCACGGCCTCCAGGTTGCTCTGGAGGGAAGCCTAGGGAGCAATGGAGGTAGTGTACCCCCCACCAGGCTGGAGGGTGCCAAGCAGGCAACTCGGACGTGCTAGAGCCATTGGAGGCCTCTTCTGTGCCACGGAGTCAAGGAGCTCAGAGTGGGGAGGAAATCGTGGGAGTTCATTAAATCCACTCCGACCCCAGGCAGGGCTGCTTCTCACACTCCTGTTGCCCCACTCCTGCCTGGCTTGGCTAACGGCCCCTGGTGGTCTCCTGGGCATTCCCAGCAGCTTGGCATTTTCCCTCCACCCAGAACTTTGATTGGCTGAAATCCCCCTGCTCTTCCCTCCCCCCGCTTCTGCCCCCAGTCCCATTATTTCTATATAAAGCTGTAGATTTATCATTATAATAGTGCCGCCGTCACCGGGGTTTGCAAATGTCTCTGTAATCTTGTAGTTATTGCTACAGAGGCCTCAGACCCCACTGCACACAACTATTCCTGCTCCTCGGTGGCAGTGGGGAGGGAGGTGAAGGCTGTAATTGGGGCCATAAATATGTGTTGTGCTTGGTTGCGTTAATGGACTTGGCCATCTTCCTGCCTTAACAGGTCCCTGCCAGGTCAGAGTGAGCCAAGTACGGGTGTGTGTGTGTGCATGCGTGTGTTGTTTTGGGGTGCTGGTGTGTTTTATGTACTTCCAGGGACCCTGGACTCAGAGTCTGCAGGGAGGAAGAGAGGCCTGATATGGTGGACTGGTCTCCAGCCTGGGAATGAGCAGGGCTGGACAGAAAGAGCTCAGGCGTTGGTGCCCAACAGACCTGTGTTGTATTCTAGCTTTTGCTCTTTCTAGCTCTGAGACCTTGCGGACATTATCTACTCTGCCTCAGTTTCCATATCAGCAAAACAGGGACAATAATGGGTACTATACCTCGTAGTGACAGTAAATGTAAAAAACTAAGTAACATCCATGAGATGCCTTGGTCGGCGCTGTCACAGAACAGCCCCCTGAGCCCCATTGTCACAGTGACTTTCCTTCTGGCTCAGCCTGTGGGTCGCTGTGTGTACCGCTCTCAGACCTGACTCCCCCGCTTGGGTCCCGACCACCTGTTTTGGCACGTTGTTGGATATTCTTATTAGTTTAGTTCTCGTCCTAGCCAGGCCGTATATTCTCTGTGTGACCTTGGGAAAGTGACTTGTCCTCTCTGAGCTGCAGTTTACTGAGTGTTAAACCAGCTTCAAAATTCTGAGATTCTAAGATTCTTGGCATCTCTTAAAGAGAAGTGCTTGGCTCCCTTGCTTTCAGAGCAGAGCTACCCAGTCCCTGGGAGTGTGGTCCATAGGTTAATAAGCCACGAGGCAGAATTTCCAGACATATTCTCCTTCCTTAAATGTCAGTAAGAATCAGTCCTCTCTTCCAGCGCCTGGGAAATGTCCTCTAGGGAGTTCCTGCCACAAGGAATCCCCTGCTCCCCACCAAG